AGGATCGCAGGTATGCAGACCTCACTGAAGACCAGCTGCCCTCCTGCGAGAGTCTGAAGGACACCATTGCCAGAGCCCTGCCCTTCTGGAACGAAGAAATCGTTCCTCAGATCAAGGAAGGGAAGCGGGTCCTGATTGCAGCCCATGGCAACAGCCTCCGGGGCATTGTCAAACATCTGGAGGGCCTCTCTGAAGAGGCAATCATGGAGCTGAACCTGCCCACCGGCATCCCCATCGTCTACGAGTTGGACAAGAACTTGAAGCCCATCAAGGCCATGCAGTTCCTGGGGGACGAGGAGACCGTGCGTAAAGCCATGGAAGCTGTGGCCGCCCAGGGCAAGGCCAAGAAGTGAAGGCACGCCAGCCGACTGCTATCCCAGGGACACCTGCCCTCCCTGCTCACCCTGTCCTCTGCACCGCTCCCCTGCACACGTCACACTGACCACACCTTATGCCGCAGATGGGGGACCACTGGCTCCCATTTCAGCCATCTTGTCCCCTACACCCTCGCCCTTCGTACAGGCCTAGTCTGAATGGCACCTCTGGGCATGCATTCTCCTCAGCCAGGCCCAAGGAAGCCTTGCCTCTCTTCCCAGAGGGCAGGGACTCTGATTATGCCAGTGGATTGTTTACTCGGGACAGACTCGAGCTAGGGGGTGGGAGGAACCACACTGAGGGTGACCGACCAGGAGGGCGAGCTGGGCGATTCCAGGCCCGGACTGTTGTGCATTGGCACTCTATTCATTCCATGTGATCTTACATCCCCTTCCTCCCTGACCCCAAAGGTTGGGATCAACTCCGAATGTTTACGTGTTGTATTTTACAAAAGGAAAAAAAATCATGTTTATGTATGACAAAATGAAAACCCTTCTTGGGTTTCTGGTGGCAGTTGATATACTAGGACCCCATGTGACCCTCAGAAACTAAGCCATTCCTCTCACCGTGTGGGGTAGGCTCCCTGGCTGCTGCAGGGAGGAGTCCATCCTGCTGTGTGCTGTAGAACCCTTCCCCGCCCTCTCTGTTGTGAGGCAGTGAAATGCCTGTTGATCGTGTCCACATGTCTCTTCACTGAGATTGAGGCTGGTCCAGTCAGTCGCTCAGCCCTGCTACTTGGGCCCAGTCCTCAGTTTGAAGACACCTGTACTAAATCCTTTTTCCAGATCAGTATAATAAAGGAGTGATGTGCAATATCTTGTGGTGTGATGTGTGATCCCTGATGGGTAGGAACCCTCCAATCCAACTTGAAACATCTCTTTACTCAACTCAGTCACTGTGTGACAGGTTGGAGCTTTCTGTTACCAGGCCTAAGCAGAACTCTGCCCCACCTGTCCCAGGATTTGGACTTCCTGCTGGGTTTTCACCTCTGGTGGGAAAGCTGGCTTGGGGGTGGGCTGGGCAGAGGATCTCCAGTCATGGTAACTGGCCATCACCTGGTCCCCTCCACGGGAAAATCAAGTCCTTTGTGACCTCTCAAAGACTTTTGGAGCTACTTCTGTTTTTCTTTTAAGCCAGTCTTTTTCTTTCTTCCAAGTAACTTTTCCCCCTCCTACATGTTGTTGAGAATATAGAATATACACAATAGAACGCCTCGAGTCCTTTGTACGGGACAATTCACATTCTCTGGGCTGGACAACCACGCTTGCCCTCCTTTTCCCAGTGGTTACTCCCCCGTGAACCTTCACACGCTGCCCCCAAGGTTTTAAGTTAGGTTGTCAATTTGATCCCTCGTAGCTAGTTCTTTGACGAGCCTAAGGTTCCAGTTGGACCTTTTCTGACTAGGTAGGAGGAGCCACTGTTGGTTGGTCTGGATCCACAATGTGTTGATGGGGTGGTGTCCCACTCATCTGTTACTGTTGCTTTGGTCTGAACGCATTCTTCCGTAGTCTTGCTTTACACCCCCCCCACCCCCCGTAGGCTGACAGGACAGTGACACACAAAACTGCATGGCTAAGGACCGGGATGATGATAGAGCACCTGGCCGCTTCACCTTGAAGTAGGAAACGGGGCTCTGCACAGGTGCTTCTGGTGTTTCCTGTTCTCTGCAAAGGATGGAGACCCTTTGCAAGAGGCATGATGGTGTTTGATTTGAAGATGACTTCTGGGGGGTATTTTGGGTTTAAGGACTATTTCAGTGCAGTAGTTTCAGGGGTTCATCCATTCTCCATGGCTGCTGAAAGTCTAGAGTCCACATGAACTTGAAATTCTGTACCCCTCTCCTTTTGAGCAGGCCTCTTTTCTGGAATCTAATCAAAGCAGTTCTGGTTGCCGGACACCATCCAATTCTGGCCACATGGCAAAGGAGGCAGTGGTTCCTAGAGGCTCTCTACACACATTCTCCAATCCTGACTCCTTCCTTTGCTGCTGCAGGTGCTTAGTGATTAATTGTGCTTTGCCCATATTAGACATGGTACTAGGCTGATTAACTGAGATGGCTCATGAAATTATGCCCTAAACTAAGAAGTCAAATTCATGAGGGGTTTGGTTGTATATAAGGAGCCTCTTGGGCCTCCACTCGAGTACTCCCTCAACACAAGAATACTTTCTTCTAGTAAATTGGCATTCTATGATGCTCACCTTCCCAACACAACCGCTGAAGACA